GCCGGGGATGGAGAAGGGGAGGAGGAACCCCCAGACGCTGGAGTGCCTGGATGCAAAGGGTGAGAGGCAAGGAGCAGAGAACAGGGAGCAGAGGTGGGTGTGAGAGGCTGGGGTAAGCAGGTGTGGAGGTTTGGGTTTGGATGTCACTCTTTCCTCCCGTGGCCAGTTGTCCTACCACTGGGTTCAAGGAGGCAAAATCTGTGACAACACATCACTGATGAAAACAACCCCAACAAGGGAGATGTTTCTGTACACAACTTTGCCTCTTTCCAAGGCCACCCTGTAAACTGCTAGACTTCTTGCTGAAGACCTGAGCTGTTCACTGTTTTATGAACCTCTTAAATCCCTCAGAGTCAACAGAGACAAATAATGTCCTTCAAGAACATTTACTGGACGCCTCCCCGTCCCCTGGAAGTCTCTCTCCAGACCCTGGCATGGCAGCCACTCTGCACACAATGAGTGCTAAGTGAGCGCTGACTGACAGGAGAAATTACACTCCCGTTAAAGCCGCCCAGCTGTGTTTTCAATCCGCTGATTCAATATTTCCCATCAGAAACAGCTTTTGGTCTTTCAATATTGCAACTGGTTTACCCCCGTGCACAGAAAGGCACGAAGTATACGTAGCTGTCTTTTGTGATCAAAGAGAAAGCTGTCTCGTGTAGCAATCTGAGGCCCATCAACAATGACCCAGAAAGTGAGCCCTTGCTCTCCTGGGAAATCACGTCTGGCAATCAAAGTGAAAAGAGGCTGGGCTGGCTCTGCCAGTCAAGAGACAAAGAGAGCCAACGGTCAGGCGGCATGTTAGAACATCCAGGGCAGAGCAGCTCATCACTGCAGTGCGTCCAGCCTGACAGAGTGCGCTAGCCACTTGGCACCCGTAGCTGTCCACGTTGACTAAATTCAAGCAAGATTACAAAGGCAGTCCCTCAGTCACCCAGCCACACTTTCAGTGACCTGTGGCCACGTGTGATGGACGCTACCACGCTGGGTAGCAGAGGCGCAGAATGTCCCTCACCATAGGAAAATCTCCTGGACGGCGCTGAACCAGAGCAACCATGCGGTCAGATCTGGAAAAAAGAAAAAAATTAGTCTATTCTGTACCCACTGACAGAAACGAAAGGTTGACTTTTTTGGACCGATATCCTTAACTATGTTTTCAGATTTTGGATTTCACAGATCAGTGAAATACTTTTTCTTATTTGGGGTTGCCAAGTTTATACTCAAGCAAGGCTGCCACCAGATGCCTTTGTTGTAAGGCCCGCCAAGGCAGGCACCGTGCCTTTTCACTGCCCGGCATCATTTAGGTATAGGCCCTGTGCCTAAAACAATGCCCGGTGTATGGTATGTGCTCAGTAACTATTAAATAAGTGATTATACAGGCACACACGGACATCCCTACTTTTTTCGTTTTATTTTTGGTGAAAACTCACCTGAAAGGTCTTTGGGTTCTACACACACACACACAAAGCTGGATTAACTCACAAAATGAATATGAGTCATCTTTTTCTAAGAACTTTACATTAATAAATACTTGTAACAAAATATAACAAATCAGAATGGGCTTCTCTAAACTGTGTATTTCACAACTAACCTGAGGGGCAGTGAAGGAGGGGAAGAGACTGTTTATTTCAACGGCACCAGAGTGCCCTCTTGTGCTAAAAGAACATACTTGTGTGGTCTCAACTTTTAAAAATAGTTTCTAGCAACACACTAAAACCTGAACTGACATGTAATTATTCTGAGAACTAGCCCAAATATGTATACCAATCACTATAAAATCTGGCCAGTTGTATTGGTGAAAAAGATAATTAAGAATGATTTGGGGACTTCTCTGGTGGTCCAGTGGTTAAGAATCTGCCTTCCAATGCAGTGGACATGGGTTCAATCCCTGGTTGGGGAACTAAGCCCACACACTACAAATTCTGAGACTTCGAGGCACATAGAAAGAAACCGGCTTACCAGTGAGGATCCCGCATGCTAAAACTAAGACCTGCCCCAGCCAAATAAATAAATAAATAAATAAGAATGATTTGTCACAGAACTATTCAACAAGGTCATCTACATACCTAAGAAATAGTGAGACCCATGAGAACTGCTTTTTAGGTTTGACATTCTAGTTTGTTTATCCTCTAGTTAAAAATAGAAAACAACCACTACTTTCAGGTTTAAGGCATTGTTGTGCATACAGTTTACTCCACTTTTGGTCAAACATCAACAAAAATCTTTGCTGTATCCAATTTATTTTTCAATTTTGATATCCTTTTTTTGCTTACTTATAGAAACCATTCTTTGAAACTGTTATGGCTGTACTTTTACACTTTATAAGTAATGATAAATCGCACCCACAGTGGATTTTCCATTAAAAGATTAAAAATGGGACTTTGATCATTTAGATGATCTTTGCAAATTTCAACTTGAAACTCTATGGCCTTGCAAGGGCAATGGGCACCAACATTGGTCAGTTTTGGCCAAGGCAGAGATTTCTGTTTCTCCTGATCCATGTAGACGGAGAATGCCGGTCTAGCCGACAGGGTAGGAAAAGCTGACTTATCCATGATGATCCTATTAAGTGTGGTTCATGTGAAATAGAGAAGAATCACTGTCTGAGACCTCGAGAAGCTCACAAATTCTGTCAACAACCCCATCTGGGTGGAGGGGTTCAGAAGATGAATCTTTAAAAGGCAGCCTCAGTGGGAGAAGGAGAGGGGGGAATGTTTCGAGAGAACAGCATCGAAACATGTTATATTATCTAGGGTGAAATAGATCACCAGCCCAGGTTGGATGCATGAGACAAGTGCTCGGGCCTGGTGCACTGGGAAGACCCAGAGGGATTGGGTAGAGAGGGAGGTGGGAGAGGGGATCGGGATGGGGAATACATGTAAATCCATGGCTGATTCATGTCAATGTATGACAAAAACCACTACAATATTGTAATTAGCCTCCAACTAATACAAATAAATGGAAAAAAAAAAAGCAGCCTCAGATTGCAATTGGCTGACACTAGCATCTGAGCCTCTTGTTTCTAGGTAATTCCTCAGGTGTACTCCTCAGACTGTTAACCACAGTTCTAGAGAATTTAGCAATGAATTTGCATTTTTATTAAATTCTGCAGGTAAAGAACCACTGTGGATATAATCAAGTTCAATACTAAGCAATTGTTAGGAGATGTCACTTGTGTGTGCTGCCTGCCTTTTGCTTTGTTGTAAACTTTTTTCTTCTTGCGTTATTTTGACCATTCTTGATATGAAGGGTGTTGTCCTGTTTCTCCTCAGTTTCATTTTTTTAATCTAGCTAAACAATCCCACGGGGTATTCTCTATTGCTAATCACTTCCATAGTTTCCTTTTTCCTCTCACAAGTCACTGGACTCGGATCTAAGAATATTCTATGGGTAAATCTGCCAGTAAATAAAATAGTTCTGATGTGTCGTATTACCCTTTTTTAAAAAGGCCAGAATTACACTCATATATTAAAATAAAGCTATCTATGCTAGCAAAATAAAGACCATAAAAAAGTTTACAATACTGAAATGCATAAACTTCAATTTAGAGACAAGATTTCCTCTAGAACATAATATAGTTACAGACTTTCTAGGACAAACCATCTTTTACTAATGTTAACAGGAAACAATAACCACATTTTTTCTAAAGGCCAGCAAGGTTTTCATTATAAGCTGTTCCATAACATTTATGTATACAATTTTTAACCTTGTGTGTGCATGCTAAGTCACTTCACTTGTGTCCAACTCTTTGTGAGCCTATGGACCGTAGCCCACCAGGCTCCTCTGTCCATGGGCTTCTCCAGATCTTCCTGGCCTAGGGACAGAACCCAAGTCAATATCTTCTGCATTGGCAGGCAGGTTCTTTACCACTAGTGCCACCTGGGAAGCCCTTTTAACCTTGTGTGTATGTTAATTTCCAACATTTGGGGCTATTTAAAGTGAGAGCAAAGTTCACATCTGCTGAGTATCCGTTACAGACACAGTATTACTTTAAAGGTACTACTTGATATATGCTCATTCAGAAAGCTCCATCCAGAACACAGTGTGTGCTTAAGGGTGACTCCAGCAAGTAGGAAAAAAATCTTCCAAGCTGAATAATATAGGCTATAAAAACTAGCACGGAACACCTGGACGCGTCATCCAAGTGTTCTGGGCAAAGAGTGACACAGTTCATTATCTGATGACCCATACTCCATGCCTTTTCCACATCATTGTCTATCTTGAAAAGAGATTATGGAATGTGCTTGCCTCAGTCATTCAGTGCCCACTGGAGACTGGGGGCATGGGAGGAAGAGAAAGAGCCAGGTGGTCAGAGATCTTAGGTTCTGAAGAGTCGGACACGACTGAGTGACCAAACAACAACGAACACTAGGTAAGCAAAAAAGTGAGTGACAGAGTATGTGTGGTATGATCCTATTTATGTTTAAAAATAAACCGTGTGTGGATATGTATGTTATAGAGATATAGGAGAAAACCTGAGAAACTATGTAAAAACTTCCTTGCAAAGAAGAAATTGAGGGGGCTGGAGGGGTGGCCTCACGTTTTACTTTATGGAAGTCTGGATTTGTTTGAAGTTAACCATTACTTCTGGCTTAACAATATATAATTTTGAAACCAAACAGATTTAGGGAGCCAATTTTCTAGGTGGAATATGATAGTTTAGAAATGCCCTTAAAATGTAAAAACTTCTTTCACTTACAAGCCTGTGGGGCATAATAAAGGAAGCACAGCCACAAAACCTGCTTCCAAACGCTCACTCAGGACACTAACCTACATCTCATCCCTGATATCTGTAAGGATAGCCATGTCTCTTTTCAAACTGTATCAAAAAACGCTCACTCAGGACACTAACCTACATCTCATCCCTGATATCTGTAAGGATAGCCATGTCTCTTTTCAAACTGTATCAAAAATAACACTGATGTCAAGATGAAGGCAAAATTAACAATCTTAAAAAACACACATAAAATAAGGACTTAAGACAAAACAAACGACTAAAGCAGAGTTCTACTAAACTTTATTCAAAACTGGCCCTACTTCCTAATTGAGATACCCCAAAGTCTAGTGTGCAAATACCCCATCACATGTTCAAAAATAATCTTCCAATTGGTGCTGACCCAGATTTGGCACACCTGAATCATCACACGAGTCAGCCACGATGGTCACCTCTTGGTATATATAGCACAATCCTGAAAACAGCACAGGGAGTCAGCTATGACACCGTTTATTAAGTTCTCAAACTGAACTGTACTCTTTGGAAGTTACGCACACCACAACCCACCTTTGCACAGGTAATTTTATTCTCTCCTGTGGGTGTCAACAGTGCTCAGAGATTGTAATTTGAAACATTCAGAAAGCACATACCTGAATATTGTCACATTTCTTTACATCACGATTCAGTAACTATTAAACAATTATGTCTACTAAATACAGTGAACAAAATGGCATAACTGTTTACACCATTTCCTTGTAAACAAGGCTTTTGTCACAACAGTAACAAATGGAATTAATGCATACCACAATATGGATGAGGAAAGACCTTCTTTTTAAATAAACTATTCAGTTCATAAATAAATTGATTTTTTTTTTCAGTACACATTTACAGACCTGATCATAAAAAGAAACAAGACATACAGTTTCCTTTTAAAAAGAAAATGTTGCAAAATGGACTGCTACTGGAGAAGGCGCCTAGGAGAGGAGGTGAGAAGCAAGCAAGGGGTAAGAGAGTTAGAAGTGCGGCCCTATGGCAGCCCGCGTCTGTTAGCAAACACCGACACCCACACGGGGACAGGGCTGTCTGCGGGGCTCGTTTTACTTGAATTCCAGCAAGTTGCAATCGATCTTATAGTACACATAGGGGTAGTATTCCTGTTGACTCAGGTTTAAGCCTGGAATATCCACAGGAGCCTATGGAAAAATCATATGATTATTCAATTAAGCACTTAGAGAAATGAAAAAAGAAAAAGAAAAAAAATATTACCATTCACAGGCATACCTTGGAGATAGCAGATTCTGATCCAGACCACCACAGTTAACCAAGCGTCACCATAAGCCAAGTCACATGACTTTTTTGGTTTCCCATTGCATATAAATGATATGTTTATACTTACTATAGTCTACTAAGTGTACAATGGCCTTTTGTCTTAATAAACAATGTACCTATCTTAATTTAAAAATACCTGATTGCTAAAAAATGAGAACCATCATCTGACAGTGCACAGTTGTCATAAACCTTCAATTTGTAAAAAGTGCAGCAGCTGCAAAGTTCAATAAAATGAAGTACAGTGAAATGAGGTATGCTTGTACCTTCTTAATTAACTGGGCTAAGTTTATACATTTTTCCTAATTTAATCTGAGTTTGACATTGTTAACTTCATTTTGCAAATAAGGAAACCATCTCAGAAAGGCTGACCTGCCCTGGGAAACAGAGCAAGTGAGCAGTAACGCCAGATCCAAGCACTCCGCCCTCAGAGCCTGTGTGGGTTTAACTGTGACTCCACCGTCCTTTTCTACACACACTTAGAAAATTACTTATTTAGTCTCAGGCTTGGGGTATTGAGTTTATGAGATATAAGGCTTATAAAATGATGGATAAAAATAAACCAACTGTGATTTTTATTGATACCACTTAGTATGTATGCATGTTATAAGAATTTACTGGTATGAAATTATGCTTAAGTTAGATTTCACATATTATCAACAATTCCATGAAAATTTAGAGTCATTTCCTGCATTTTCTTCCATTAAAAAAAATTGATTTTTCTCCCATGGGTTCTAACTAATGCACATGTGAAATACTGCCATTCTAAACTAGAGGAAAAATATCAGCAAGGTATTTGAAACAAAAAATATAAAAGCCTGCTATAATTCTAAACAACAGCAACAACAAAAAGCACACATTTTTGTATGCTTTTGTATGCATAAATGTTCATACTTTTGTTTTAAAAAAAGATATACACCATTTTAGAGAAATGATAATTCCCTCAAAAATGCTCATCTATTGACTCTGCTACTTCTACCAAATAGTCACAGAAACGACTTGTTTTCTTCCTCTCGGCAATTTGTAATTCTTGTAAACAACTAGTATGACTGCTTGTGTGTGTATTTCTGCAGCTATAAACATCAGATCTACAGCAGGATAATGACTGGCTTTGAGAAATACTGAGAAGCAACTACTACAAAATGGGGTAAGCAAGGTAAATTATTTACTAACAGATTGAGAATCTTAAAGCAATTAAATAACATCTTCTTCCAATAATTTTTTCTGAAATTCATCCAGTTCCTATTCTACCAGGCTAATAAATACTTACATCAATAATAGCTGCTGCGCTGCTATCTAGATGTTTATACAATTCATATAATACTTCTCTTAGTTTCTTCATTGTTTTCTTATTGGGCTGAAGGAGCATTGCTTGGAAGTTCACTGGCAAGCCATACCTTATAAGGAAGCAGAAACACAAGATGTAACACAAGCAAACATATGCAGAGATTTTCTGTTTAAAAGCAAATATTCTCATACTCTTCTTTAATCACTGTTAATGGGGAGAGGGGGCCTCATTTTAATATCCACCTTTACAAGTTCAGAAACTCACAACTTCTCTGGTCCTCACTGTCCATTAGAAATATTTAAAATGAGAGCCAACTGTCTACTAGGAATTACTTTTAATTACTCTTCAATTTTTAAGGTAATTTATGACCATCCTCAGCAGACAGTGATAATGTATAAACTTAGTAGTGTCTTTAGGTATATGCAGGGAATTGGCTCCAGGACCCCCGTGAATACCAAAATCCAAGGATGCTCAAGTCTCTTAAATAAAATGGTGTAAGATTTGTATATAATCTACATATATCCTCCCATATACTTTAAATCATCTCTAGGTTACTTATAATACAATGTAAATGCTATGTAATTAGTTGTAAATAAAATGCAAATGCTATGTAAATCATTGCTAGTGCCCAGTAAACTGAAGTTTTATTTTTTGGAACTTTCTGGAATTTCTTGTTCAAATATTTTCAATCCACAGTTGGTTGAGTCCATGGATTTGGAACCCAAGAATATGGACAGTCAACTATTGACTCCTTCATGATAATAAAGAATATGAAAAACAAAAGCATGAGATTACTCATCTACTAGGGAAATTCAAAGAAATTTACAAATAGCATGATGGCAGATAAGTATTTCGAACTATTTCTAATATAAGCAACATGTACAGAGCATCACAAGATGGTTGAGATTTTAAGTATCTCAAAGTAATAAAATATTTTAGGCTACTGTGAAACGAGGACTTCAAATAAGGTATACTGTGTATCAAACTACATGTAAAATATGTGATAGGTCTTTGATACTGACAATCTCTCCCTCATGAGTAGCCCTTTGGTTTCCCCAAATCAAAGTCCTATTAGCGGACTGTGTTTCAATAAAGAGGTACAATGCCAAGGGATCTACGCATTCTTTAGTTCCAAGTTTCTCAATGAGCTTTCTTTACCTCAAAACAGACTCGACAAAAACCCTCAGAGCTTTCACATGAATCCACGCAATAAACGCCTCACTGAAATTCACTTTCAGCCACCGTACCAGTGGTCCCTGTAGAAAGAAAAGAATCACCACAAATTTGGTCTTGTAAATGGCAGTTAGAAATCAGATAAATCAAGTATTTTTAAAGGAGTGACTATCCAGTGAGAATCTTAAGGAGAATTCAGTCATATTATGTGTCTGTGTGCTCAGTGGCTCAGGCAAGTCCAACTCTTTGTGGCCCCACAGACTGTAGTCCGCCAGGGTCCTCTGTCCATGGGGATTCATCAGGCGACAACAATCCCTGCTCCAGGGGATCTTCCCAACCCAGGGATCGAACCCAGGTCTCCTGCAGTGCAGGTGGATTCTCTACCAGCTGTGCTACCAGGGAAGCCCTAATCACACTGTAATTGACTTCAAAAATGTTTCATCATTCTCATATCTCAGATACTTTACCTTACATTAGATGAAAAGGTTAGCTACTACTGTGTAACCTCAGTAGATACAAATAGCCAGTGACTCTGCTCACCACACAGAAAAAGGTGTGTGTGTGCAGTGCATGTGTGTGTATGTGCACTCTTCTTTTGGGGGCCATGCTGCCCAGCCTGCAGAATCTTAGTTCCCTGATCAGGGATCAAACTCACGGTCCCTGCAGTGAAAGTGCAGAGTACTAACCACCAGGACTGCCAGGAATTCTCAAAAAGGCATACATTTTAGTGAAAGTCATTTAAAATGATACAGAATATAGAAGTGTCCTATAGATTTGAAAACCAAAGTATAAATATCTTAATTTACTATCCAATACTGTTAAGCATTTAACACATTCAAAATAAAATTTAATTACAATTTCTCAGGAACAAGGAAAAATAGTTACATAGTAAGTCATTTAATATTTCTAGGTATTAGTTTTCTCATCTGTAAAATCATGGGGCTGACTTAGATCCCCAAGACCTGATCATTATGTTCTAATTTCTTAATGATTCTATTATGTATTGACAGCATAAATTCTTTATGAACTTATTAAACTATTCAGTGTGATTCCTAGTACTAAATAAAAACACCTCTTTAAAGAAACAAACCTCAAACAGCTTATTACCATTTCTCCATACTCAAAAGACACACACGGTCAGTTCAGCTAACAAGTTATTTGGGTAATATTACTGGGCTCATTTGGGTATAGCAATCAATTTATGCAAAAAGGATAACAACACAATAAAGTGAAAGTCTTTGGTTAAAATATCTGTTCTTTTAGGATTCTGGATCTTCCCCCCAACCAGCTGGTTTTATTTGACATTACTTCGTTAGGGTTAGTTTTCTTCCAATTGAGATGTTATGGTTTATAAAGCACTTGGAAATAACTGTAAATGGAATGTGCTTTTGTTTCCTCTTTCATTACAAGAGAAACACATTTTCACTCATCATGTTTCCCCTTCCATATACTCTTTAATCTTCACAAAAATCCTTTACTTGAGGATGGCAAGAAAATCAACCCTATCTTTCACTCACAATTCTATCCCTGTTCTCCACTGTGCCTAGAACATACTAAAGTCACCAATGGTTTAAATACAAATTCCTTCAGTGAAAGACTGCAGCATTAAAAAAAAAAAAATCTGCCTCAAGAAAATGAAATTTCCTACTGAAAAGAGAGAACAATTACTTAACTAAAATGACCCCTCACTATAGGGGCATTAATCAAAAAACACTGTATTTAAAATTAACTTTTGATATGGACTTAGAGGGATTAATTTTAAAATATACATTTTAAGATAACAATTCACAGATCTCAGCTTGCTTAAACTCATTTTGACTACTTAATAGAAAAAATAACTAAAATCAAAATCAGAAATGTTTTTTCTTTGAAAGAAAAGCAGTACTAGTTTTTCTTCTGGTTAACACTGATAATATTAAAAACACATACAAATTGCTTTTTCTTGTCAGTAGAAAGCCTGTTCATTTCTTCTTTGTCTGCTTTCATCTCCTCTTCATTATACTGGAAGTCCCGGACAATGAATCTAAAGTAGAAAAAAAAAGAAAATCAAAATTGTCCACAGGAAGTACAGGTAATCTAACAAATTTTTAAAAAAAAATTTAAATAACAATCTTACTTGTTTTCCCTGGCTTTGTGTCTGAAGTCATCAACTGCCTTCCTAAACAAGGTGACATTACATAGGTAACTGTCTTGGTCCTCTGAGAGAACACTAGAGAAAGACAGACAAGTCCATTTAAAGCTTTACATTCATTGCTCACATTCATAGTGAGGGCAGAATTCAGAAACAGGGGGAGGAGGAGGAACAAATGGAAAGGCATGGCAGCCCGTCCTGAAGCCCTCAGTGCTTTTCGTCTCTACTGCCTCAAACACTGAGGACACTCAGTCTTTATGTTTTTATTTACAGTGTCTTAACGGGCCCCTCGTACAGTTCTTCCTAACCAAAAAAAATAAGCATTAACTTAAGAAAAGCTTCCAAACTCTAAGAACCATGATTCTGAATCTATCAGCAGCAGGCCAGCCAAGGACAAATTGTCCAGCAGCTGGCTGGTTCCCAGACGCTCCCTGCTTCGTGGCTAAACACCCTCTTGTCTGGAATCTGAATTCTCCCCTCCTCTCCCCGGCCCTGCCCCCAAGGCCTGGCCCACCCCTTTTAATGTGCGCCCTCTCGAGACTATTACGCTTAGTTCTTGCACCCGGTGCCCATCAGATCCAAAGCAAGCCAGCTACCAAGTGGGCAGAACTTGATTTAAAAAAAAACCTTTAATGATACTCAGGTTTGCCAGAACTGACTCAGTAATGTGCAAACTGGGATCAAAACAGAGCCAAATCCAACTTGACAGGCAATCTCAGATCCTAACAATATGCCACCAATATCATATTCATCTCTTAAACTGATCTTATAAAAAATCTCAGCTGATCTTTGAAACTTTAGTCCTCTGCCGTTTTGAAGGCCCATGCAAACAAAGGGGTGGGGACCACAGGTGTGGACAATGGCAGATTCGGTGGCAGTGAAAAAGATGGAAAGAAGGCTGAGTTACAGTTTAAGATTTCAGACATAAAGCCTTTCTAGAGGTTAAGGGTGAGACCAAGGGGGACAGCATGCAGAAACCAAGTGGGGATAACAGTCTGTGAGCTGCAGGTCTGACGCTCCAAACTCTCTGCATTCAGTTCTCCTTTGTGTACAAGCACTAACAGTGTATTCTCACCCTGTAACCAAGCCAAGACGAAACTAAGTCCGTGCTTTTCAGCTGTCTCATGGCATTTTCAGTCACCCATGAGCGTGGCAGTGCTTCTGGAGCTGACGAGCTCTTCTACTCTCTACTTACCTCTCTCCCAAGGCTCAGTCCTGCCATCTGCTCTGCTCCAATCGACTGACCCATTTCACTGCCAAAGCCATCTTTCCTGCTTTTCTTCATAAATTATCTTTGCAACCCCGGCTCCAAAGCACAGATGAAACTTTTCTCTGCCCAATGGCTAGTGTCGTTTTTTTCTAGGTCTTCCTTGCTAGCATCCTCTGCTTCATCTAGAGCTCTAGCTTCCTGAACTCTTAAGCTTCTGCGAAGCACCACCCAGTCTGTGGTGCTGTTTCCCACAACAGAGAAAAGGCCAGAGTCAACCAATGATCTGACCCAACCAGTCTATCTGGACAGGCAAAAGTAGAAAGACAAACAGCTAAGCGGTAATTATGAAACTATAAGAGAAAAGCACCTCTTTTTGAACAGTTTTTCCAACAAAAAGAAGCAGAACAACAGTCTAGCCTCCACTTTTTTGGCTGTGTGAACTCTGATGCGGCATTTATACATGTCTTTGCACTTAGCCACCCAATGACGGCAGTATTTCACATGGTCCAATCTTTCAAGACTTATGGAGAACATTTTGCAAATAGCTAGATTTTATGTGTTTAGGGGAAATTATTTCTTTGGGTTTAAAGATGGTCTTTTTCAATCTATTCTTCTTCCTCAAAAGTCCACTTTCATCTTCACTGCTTCCAAGAGTAAATCACTGAAGTATTGTGTCAAAAAGCAACAAGTGACAGTGTTGCTACTTAAAATTCACTTTAAAATAAGACACTTAGAACAGTAACTAGCACATAGTAATTACTCAAAAATGTTAGTTACTAGGATAAGCAAAAAATCCAGCATTAGGTCATAGAGCTCTTTCCTGAACGGTGTATACAATTCCAGACTGACCCACTAAAACCTGTTTGCCTCACATAAACTAACCGTCCTCTTCAGGGCTGGCTGAGTTACTGTCCTTTCTCAATGACTACTCAAACCCCTTTTCAAGGATGTGATCTGAAACCAGTCTTCAGAACTGCTAAATAGATGAACAGCTGTTTTCACTGAGGAAGAGCTGAAGGTGTTCAGGTGGTCAGCGGACACTTGGGGTCATTCAGAAAATAGGTATTGCCTATACTCAACCGGCAGCATCTGAAATTTTTTCCTTTAAACTACTAAAGTGATTTTCAAAAGATGTAAATCTCTGAAGTAGTATTTCTAAAGTCCTTCTTCCCGAGTAAACCTGGGCTTACACACCACTTCCCCGGACCCAGGCCGGGCTCCCCACAGCGCAGGGGGACATGCCACGTGCACTGCGTCCTCACGCCCCTCCTCCCCACCCCCGCCCCCACGTCAGGTCAATCTCTGTGGCTGTAACGGTCTCCAAAGAACAAGGTTTAATGTGTCACCTGTCCGGATAAACAGCGTCAGAGGAAAACTAGTATCAAGACACAACCTCAATCTTCAGTTTACCATGTGAAGGGCCAGTGTGAACGGAAAGCACTCCCCAAAAATGGGAAAAAAATTCACAATGAGCACAAGTTTGTGGTTTTGTTCTCAAAAAAAAAAAGTCAACAGCTGTGAAACAACAAGATTCATATTACCTTCTACTTTATATACCTTTCCAAACTTATTCATCTATTTATTTTTTCGGCTCTGCTGGGTCTCGCTGCCGCGAGGGCTTTCTCCAGCTGCAGCGAGCACGGGCTACTCCTCCTCGTGGTGCTCGGCTTCTCACCCAGATGGCTTCTCTCGGTGCAGGGCACCAGCTCTAGGAACGCAGGCTTCACTAGTTGCAAAGTGTGAGCTCGTAGTTGTGGCGACGGGCTCAGCTGCTCCAAGGCATCTGGGATCTTCCCAAACCAGGGATTGAACCCGTGTCTCCCACATTGGCAGGCGGATTCTTTACCACTGAGCCAACAGGGAACCCCTACTTTATATAGCTCACCAAGTCTTAAAAGGACCTCATAGTGTGTACAGCGAAGGTGTGATGCTCATTTTACAAAGAAAATGAGGTCCGGAGAAGTGAAAAGACTTACCTTAGGTCACACAGCAAGTTGGTAGCAGAACCAGCAAAAGAACTCAAGATCCCTGGGTCCGGGACTCTTTCCATTATACTAAACTACCTCCCATATGACACAATGAAACTGGAAAAGAAAATATTTCATGGGCCTGGCCTTACTAACACCACTTCTCCACTATGTCCCAGACTTTCCCTTCATCATGCTGACATCTCTTAAGGGACATACACACAAAAGAATTCTCTGGGGGTGCATACACACTGTACTTATATTTCCTTGGCAAGTATCTCATGTGGAAAGGCAGAATACAGGAAAAGATGATATGCTATAGTGTCATGAGTGCACAACTTGCAGTGAAAAGACCTGAATTTTTAGTCCTAACTTTGCCATTGGACACTTTTAAGGCCATACGCTTTAGGCAACAACTTAACTCTTCTGTATTTTTACTTCATCTACAAGAAAAAGTATAACAACTGCCCAAACTAATTCACAGAACTGTTGTAAATATCAAATTAGACAATGAATATTAATCCCTAAGCTCAAAAATGCTTAATAATTTTTTTTCAAAGGAAAGTACAGATAAGGTAGAATCTATGCTCACTGGAAAGTGATAGTAAATATCTGCAGACCAACACAGTACCCTAGTAACCATTTTGGTATACTTCCTTGACAAGATAAATGGGGAATTATAAACACAGTAGGTATGAGATAAGTACTGAATGATCCTGAGAAGGTTGTCTAGCAGAAAAAGTACCACACTGGAGACCTGGGTTCTGGTTACAGCTGTGCCACTTATGAGATATGTGACTCTGGGCAAACCACTTCAGCTCTGTGGCCTCAAACTTCCACATCTATCAACATGAGTGGGTTGGTGAGACTGTGCAAAGGCCCTTCCAAGTCTAAAATTATAATAACTAGAGTTAATATAATTCACTTATTAGGTGAAAAAGATGGTTCCAAAGCTATAAAATTTACCACAAAGAAAAGATAGATATTTCCTAATCCAACACCCAAACTATCAAAGGAATTCTAAGAAAGAGCAGGCTTTAAGTCTACTACTTACTTGCTAGACCTTGGAACTACCATTTCAGCTAGTGTTTCATACTGTTTAATCCAGTCGTTGTGGTTTAACCTGCAGAAAAGGTACAATTAAGTTACTAGAAGAGAAAACCAAGTCCTACTTCCTGCCAAACCCAGAAAGAGAAAAAAATTATGAGACAAATAGGAAATTCAACTACAATAAGTATATCTCAAATCTATCTGACAAAAGAAAAATCAAGTTTCCTACAGAGAATGAATTCGAATCCACTGAGGGGGAAGAAGGAAACGTAGCTCACCACCTCTTACACCCAATAACTACTGCACAAGAAGCACACCCTAGAACTCAGTTTGGAAAAGAAGCAAAGCGAAATGGAGATTTGAAGTTATTTTCAAACTTTAGGGTTAATTTATATTACCTCACTAAAAAAAAAAAAGCAGCAGCAAGCAAAGAAGGAAGAAAGAGAAAGAAATGAGAGAGACAGAGAGAAAAGAGAGCAGCCATGCTGAAATCACTAACATTTTCATTCACTGGCCATTAAGAATCGCTGGGTAAAAGCACACTTACTGAAAGCACAGGGTACCAGAAAGCACTGAGCCAAAAAAGCGACACTAAACCAAGCTGCCACGATCACCGTGCAACAGCCTTCTCTAGAGACCACTGTCTTTCATGGGTGTGGCAAGAGATGATTATGTTTGCAATAAAAAATAAAGAATTGTATTGACAGTACTGTAGCCAGGATAATAAATAAGCCATTATACAAGGTACCCTAGGTCCAACCCTAGGTTTCAAGCACAGTGTACAGAAAACTAAGAAAACTTCTTTTCTTAAACACAAATTTTAAACAAAGATCACATAAGACAAATCTTTTTTCTGAGCAAAGGTTATTTCCCTGCATAGTATAAAAACACAAATACAGAGAAATTTTTCAGAAATAATCAGTGTTTTCTTTTCTGCAGTAAGCAGGGAAAGGCAAAAATCAGATGATACTGTCGCCGCTGTAAATTCAACAGAGGTGCTTTCCCACCCCTTTCCAGGAGGCATCATTTTCCTATATTCCCAGTTTACTAACCAGATAAAAATGGAGAGCACAGCAAAAGAAGACTTTATGAATAATGCTGAGAAGAGTCCCCAAATCTCCCATGCCAGTTTGGATCCCCCAATGATTTCCTGATGGTAAGATTTCAGTGCAGGTTAGAAATAAAACCATTAACGGTGTTTTCCGCCACCCACCCACACATACAGAATTCTAATCTTCCAAAGACTTCATTTTATCAAGATTAACTATGCCCAAATGTTAATTAATACAGAAGGCCTAATCTAGAGGAGATTTCAAAGAATTATCTGACCCAAACTATGCCCATAACCTGTACCTATTTATGTAAATAAAGATTTAAGCCACATCACTTCACATACACACTGGGGATAGCTGCTTTCAGCTACAACCACAAAACTGACGTGGCAGAGTTGAGTAGCTGTGTCACAAACCATATGGCTTGCAAGGGGTAAAATACTATTTGGCCTTTTATATAAAAGATATGCTAACCTTTGATCTAATGCAATCCTTTACTTCTTAGAGAGTTTAATTCATCCTAATCAATCATTAAGATTTTTCACAAAAACAAAGAACTTCCTATTTTGAAATATCTAAAAACAGTATTTTTTTAGAAATCCAATAGTTTAGCATTATTTAATTTTTTAATGGGTCAACTCTACTAAGCTGAACTTGATTTAGAATCTCAATTTATAACTGACATCTCCATTACCAGGTTACAAACTAAATTCCACTGTATGTGCCATATGAGTATATGTTGGCTGACAGAACAAATGACAAGGTGATATTCCATTTACACTTGGGTTTTGTGGAAAACTTCAAATTACACTATCAGACAGTAACAGTTTTCTTGTATTTTAATAAGTAAAAACCTTCTGTAATGAAAAGACATACTTGGGAACTACGACCAGTAATGTGACGAGATATTCTGAGTCAAGAACAAAGTCATCCTTCTTCACAATTTCTGCTAGACTTCGAGTTAGCAAACTCCCTCTAAGGAATAAAAGAAAGATCATTAGGCTGATAATTACGTGGTTCCATAACACAAGTAAAGATACAGCAGGCTAAGTATAGGTACATATACTATACATACATCTCAAGAGGGATTAGCCTGAGTTAACATTTTTATTTGATATATCAAGAAGCCAAAATTTAGCTGAATATTTCCCATAACTAAACCCAAAGAAATGTCAAATTTTTATCAGAATGTGCCTCTAGTGTCTCCCTTTTTGTTTGTTTTCATTATTATAACTCAGCTCTTCTCTTGATTACATATATAATGTCTTGACTGGGAAAGTGTTATTCATTAGGCATCAATTAAAGTCTACCTCACCATAATTATGAAATCGTATCATCTAAGCACAACCTTTGATTTTCCTCCCTCTCCTTGGGTATTAATTGTGGTTAGTTAGCCCAACAATCAGCTCTTTGAATGCAAGTCTTCATCTGGTCGCCCAGTAGACTTCACACTGAAAATGACTTGCCCTGTTCGCACCCCTGACAGGACAAGTCAATTCTGCCTCTGGGATACGAATGTATACCTTGAAGAGTTAAGTGCTTAAAGCAACACTTGTGGTAGTCATACTACGGTGAGATCAACCAAAAGAAGAGTGTTCTATTTTAAGAAGACCTAACATAAAAAAACTGAAACATATAAAGAGATAAAAATGGAAACAGATTGGAAAACAAATAAATCAAATGAGAATTACATAAAAAAGGATTTTCCTATAGAATTCTTTTAAACAGCAGATAATTGCTATGTAATTAAATTATGATTTAATTTAAAACAATTAACTTTAGATAATTTTTACAGTGAAAAATCAGATGGATAAAGGGTAAACCAGGACCCAGTTCAGAAGTAGTATGTATGAAACGAGCATAATAAATCAGCCTCACATCTGTTTTGACTAGCCTGAATTAATGAGTTTTTCTCCATGAAGTGAAAAAACACCATCTGACTATAGAAATGACACAAACTGGAATGTACTAAAACCCCAACAACAGTTTATCCAGTGTACGCTACGCAATGGTCCCCGCCATTTTCGGCACTGGGGACCAGTTTCACAGAAGACAATCTTCCCATGGGCCAGGGAGGCGGGGCTGGGTGGTTCAGGATGATTCAAGCCCATTGCATTCATTGTGCACTTTATTTCTAGTGTTATTACATCACCTCCAGCTCAGATCATCAGGCATTAGATTTCAGAGGTTGGGGACCCCTGTGCCACAGTGCTTCTCCAATTCTAAATCAGTCACGTATAGTGGACATGCTTACGCATTCTTTCGTTCCAAATTCTGAAGATTCCCTTTCAGGTTGTTGTATGCGGATGCTCGAGATTTCAAGTCATTGTCAATCTGAGTCACACCCTTTACAGAAGAAAGAAGAGAAGTAGGGAGAATCTTCCTAAATCTGCCTTTAGTAATACAATTAAAGTAGTTGTGCCTAAACTTTAAAAAACAAACCCACCACTAGTTCCTGATGTAAGAATATTCTATTATTTTAAAGGCATTATCTTCAAAGGTCATTAAAAACATAACCCACTTCATTTTTAATAACTATGGGAACTTTCATATAATCTTTTCTACTAATGTTTAGTCTACATGTATTTTCATTATTGTTACTATATTCTTAAACCATGTAAATGAAATCTAGGACATTGATTAAAGACACGACTGATTAAAAGGTTTTAATACACAAATCTAACGAGTTAATTTCCAAAGGAACGAAATCATACAGAGTCTTGCTGTTTATAACACCACCATTCTTACACAAAACATTTTTGCAATGAAATTAAAATTTTGCTTCAACTTATTTATAGATGTTACACAAGCTGATTTTTCAAAAAGATGATTAAAACTACTAACAATTTAAGGAGAAAACACAAAGCAGTAAATTTAACATTTGAAGAACTAATTTCAACTTAGCTCTACCATTATCAGCTGTGTGGCACTCTGGGATAAATCACTTCACCTCTCTGAGCCTGTTTCCTCATCTATAATAGCATCAGGAAGATGATGACTAAATCCTTGATAAGGATTAAAAGAAAATAATGCCCAGTCATAATAAGAACACCACTTTATATTATCTGACTACTCATTTTCATTAAATTATTTGACCCTGAGTTAAAATCCTTGATAGACTATTTATTTACATTTAACCACAGAGCATCACCGACTCGATGGACATGAGTCTGAGTAAACTCCAGGAGTTGGTGATGGACAGGGAGGCCTGGTGTGCTGCGATTCATGGGGTCGCAAAGAGTCGGATAGGACTGAGCGACTGAACTGAACTAAAGCGCAGGACACAATGTACAAATAAAGTCAGTTGAAGCTAAGGAAGTTTGTCCAAATGATTTAAACTGTACTGTTCATCCTAGCCAGGTCATAGATATGTTGTCAAACAGTGAATAGGTCCTTGTCTATTGCCTCATTACAGTTTCAGGTAAAACTTTAACATTTTTCTCTCAAGCTCAAGGACTTTGCAACATAAAAGGGACTCTCTCTCAGTTTAGTGAGTTCATGGATGGACTTTCAACACCTGTGGACTTCCTGAAACCGTTCATAAAATCACTCAGTACGAGAATACGGGCAATTTTTCTGAGTAGGGAATCAACACTGAATGTCAGAAGGCATCAAGAGAACCCCTTAAGTTTAATCTGAATCTGTACTGTACGTAAACATACTTAAGTGACCATTATCATATATCTGAATGATTTGTAAATCTCTAATCAATTTCAATTTCTAATTCTATGTGATCTCAGTTATGCTTAAAATTTATAATTTTAAAGTTACTTTTCTTACTCAAACGTTGATGCAACCTTTAACCACTTAAAAAAACAAACTACACACGTGGATAATGTGCATGTGAAAGTGTTATTCTTTTCTGACAAGTTTCTTTTTTAAGTAAAGTTGCAGTGAGTCACATACAATTAAGTTGCCTTGTCAAAACCTAGAGTACTTAATAGCTAAATATTTATAAAATAAATAGAATCACTATAAATCAATGTGTCCTACCTGTGTCATTTTTTTATCTTACCTTGGCAATTATTTCAGAAATATTTTTCAGGGACTGCTTGATTGGATATTTAGCCATGTCCCACTGAAACCTTGTTATATAAGTAACCAAGTCAACTGAAATAAGGGAAGAAATTAATTACTGAGAAGCAACAGCATTTTTTATAGTTTGCTACACAGTAATGCCAAAATTGGCATTAAGAAATCAGTAAAGATATCATTTGTGAAGGTTAAATAAATGTGGGACTGTATTAGGCAACATGGATTAATCAAAATTTTTACCTGTAATCTGACTGAATTCTCTTCTCCTTACTCTAAATTTAACATATATATTAAAACGCTCCTTCTAACTTGATGACTTAATAAATGGAATATGTACATACCCACGATACATGGAAAGGTGAGAGACACAGAGTTTGAGAAGCTACTGCAAAGTGTCTCAATAAGAAGAATTTGACAAAATTCTTATGTTATTTCTTTGCAACTTGCCCAAACTGAAAATGAACCTGTCTGTTAAAACCATGTGATGACTGTTTCTAGGAGTCTATTTTTCAGTAATATTCAAAACATGGACCTTTTCACTTTCAAATGAAAAGAATAAAAAACGCAAAGCCAAAGAGAAACTCAACAACTAATTCCCTGGAAGGCTGGTAGTCAAGATGACTTTATCCCTCAAGTCTGATGAGATCAAGGTCAGAGAACTCAAATGTCAATTATAGTTAACTAGCAAAAGTAATTCATATCAAAATATCTTCTCTTCTCAACTTCTCCTGACAGAATACCAGCAAGTCAGCAACATATCTGGTATTTTCAAAAAGAGTTTTGGATCCAATGTCCCCTAGATTATGACTTCCCCATTCTGCCAAGTAGACTGACTGCCCTAGTTCATCAAGTACCGGGAGATCAGCGAAGGCACCTAAGTTAACACATCTAACTCCCGTCCTTCTGCCCCAGCCACACATTAACAGAAACAGTAAGCAGGTCAGGGTTGCTATTTTAACAGAGAGCAAAAAGAAATTACTAACTGTTTCTGAGTAAGTACTTACTGAACATCTATGATTTGCAAGGGAAAGAAGCGAGATCAGAGAAGCACTGAATCTGAAACGCAGTGGCCACTGAGATTCAGCCAGCCTCCATGCTGCTGCCTTGGCACCACCTTACGTGGCCAAGCAGCCAGCAGGGGCCTAGAAATCACACTAGATAACAGCCCTCCTGGCTAACAGCCCGAGACAACAGCCTGCAATCACAAGAAAACATAAGCTCAGCTCCCGGTCTGATCTCTGATACCAACCTTTGATAAGCATTCTCCCCTGCTGCCCAGGACTTCTCCTTCTAGTGGACCCTTTAGATAAGACCCCCCGGGGCATGAAATGGCAGCTCACTCCAGTATTCTTATCTGCAGAATCCCATGGACAGAGGAGCCTAGCAGGCTGTAGTCCATGGGGTTGCAAAGTGTCAGACACGACTGAGCATGCACAGGGCTCTTCAAAGTTAATCAAAATTCCCCTTTTTAGTTTGAATTGACCAATCAGGACTTGGCTTGGGAATCCCAAATCACTCCACCCATGGACCCTAATAAAGGTATGTGCCCCAGGTCCTACTATTCTTCCTGTCTGCACACCACCCTGACCTCCCTGCATTGCTCCCCTCCCTCCAGGACCTGTGAGTAATAAACTTCTCTATTTCTCTTTCCCCTGTGGTCATTCGTTGAACTGTGGCTCACTATCCTATGATAACTCAGGGCTCTAGCTAACAAATGTTAATTTATCATAGTGACCTACCACAGTAGGCTACAGGACAGAAAGAGAGGAAGACTGTTTCTTATTTTAATGACATATCATTAAAGATCCAACCAGTCAATCCTAAAGGAAATCAGTACTGAATATTCACTGGAAGGACTGATGCTGAAGCTGAAACTCCAATACTTTGGCCACCTGATGCGAAGAACTGACTCACTGAAAAACGCCCTGATGCTAGGAAAGATTGAAGGCAGGAGAAGGGGATGACAGAGGATGAGATGGTTGGATGGCATCACTGCCTCGATGGACATGAGTCTGAGTAAACTCTGGGAGTTGGTGATGGACAGGGAGGCCTGGCATGCTGCAGTCCATGGGGTCACAAAGAGTCGGACACGACTGAGCAACTGAACTGACTGAACTGAACTGAACTGAAAATGAAACACATGCTAAACTGATATTTTAGGAAAAAACAACAAATGCAAGAACAAGTGACAATGATGCACTTGAAACCATCTTTACAAAGCTATTATTACACAGAACAAACTTTATGTAAATATTAGTTTCTAGCTATTGACAGGTCAGTAGTAGACTATTCTATGGGTACTAAAGAAATGCCATATGAAATTTGAGGGGAAGAGGCATTACTCTGAAATAAGATTAATAATTTTTATTCTAAAGCTTCTGTAGTTGGACGCAATTAAATACAAAAAGCTAGAGGAAACTGCAAGTATTCAACTGGAACAATGCTGAGACACGTAACTCAGAAACACACTTTTAAGTGGAACTGACAGGTAGATCCTGGAAAGAACTAAGGTAAATCCTTATGATACTGCTCTTGGAAGGATTCATATTCAAAACAAAAAAAACACACTATATATTATTTAGGACTGTCTTATGAGAGGTGTTTCAGAGAACAGAATGTAACTGGCAGTATAATCAAATTGTTAATAATAATTCTATTTTAACGGCTTTCTACTGCATTTAATACCCTTATCTATAGATCTTTTTTATGTCGTTCACTTTACTGAAGTCAATATCAAATCATGAAACATTAGCTTACCTCCATTGGCCAACAGGTTCTCCTGAACTTTATCTTTACTGTCCTCCAATACGTCAGCCATATATTGAGCCACTTTCTTAACCACCCTTAGGAGAAAAAAAAAATCAGTGGTCACTTTCAGGAAAACAACCTAAATTCCATGCTACAAAATGAACACGTTCCATGAACACATGAATTTGACTCTCTTTGTTTCCGTTACACCATCTGTATAATAATAGTAAACAACTGGTTCTGGGGATCGGGATGGGGAACACATATAAATCCAGGGCTGATTCATGTCAATGTATGGCAAAAAACACTATAATATTGTAAAGTAATTAGCCTCCAACTAATAAAAACAAATGGAAAAAAAAAAATTGGGGCCTAACTTTTAAAATAATGTTAAGGACAAACTGAACCAAGAGTTTATTATATGTAAAACTCAACTGAGTAACTGTAGTTTTAAGGAGACCACCTGCAATATGTTTATCAAGTCTGGAAAGAAAGTAGTGGAATGTTGGCGAGGGTAAGCGGAAAGAGTGTGCAACAGATCTCACCGCCCTGCAAGAACAAAGTGGGAAGCAGGAGCCTGCATTCATCAGATGCGTACTTCCCCTCAGGACAAAAGGGATCCGACAGGCAACAGAATACAAGCAACAGTGCAGTCTTACATTATTTATTCATTACCTACTTACTGAGCATCTACTATTTGAGATTCGTTTTATTGTTGTTTAGTTGCTAAATCATGTCTGTCTTGTTTGTGACCCCACGGACTACAGGCCACCAGGCTCCTCTGTCCACGGGACCTCCCGCTCAATGCTAAAGAGGAAATAAACCATGGTGCCAAACTACTGAAGCAACTGCGTATCACCTTGTCAACCCCTTTACTTTATAAACACACCCAAGTATAAAGACAATAAGTGATTTAGTTCTAAAAGTCACAAAATCAGTTCCTGGCAGAGCAGTGACAGAAACCTGTCATCCTGATTCTGGTGTTCTGTGTTCCTTCCCCGTTCCTTGCCCACCTATGGGCCATGGGTGGCATATGTGAGTTCAGTCCAGTTCAGCTGCACAGTTGTCTCTGACTCTTTGCTACCCCATGAACCGCAGCACGCCAGGCCTCCCTGTCCGTTACCAATTCCCAGAGTTTACTCAAACTCATGTCCATCAAGTCGGTGATGCCATCCAACCATCTCATCCTCTGTCGCCCCCTTCTCCTCCTGCCTTCAATCTTTCCCAGCATCAGGGTCTTTTCAAATGAGTCAGTTCTTCGCTTAAGGTGGCCCAAGTATTGGAGTTTCAGCTTCAACATCAGTCCTTCCAATGAACACCCAGGACTGATCTCTTATAGGATGGACTGGCTGGATCTCCTTGCAGTCCAAGGGACTCTCAAAGAGTCTTCTCCAACACCGCAGTTCAACAGCATCAATTCTTTGGTGCTCAGCTTTCTTTACGGTCCAACTCTCACATCCATACATGACTACTGGGAAAACCATAGCCTTGACTAGACCAACCTTTGTTGACAAAGTAATGTCTCTGCTTTTTAATATGCTGTCTAGGTTGGTCATAACTTTCCTTTCAAGGAGTAAACATCTTTTAATTTTATGGCTGCAATCACCAGCCATGAAATTAAAAGACGCCTAAGTACATAAGACAAAACCATCTAGCTTCCCAATGCTTAAAATGGAGAAACATTAATACCAAAAAAGACAGATGACTAAATTCAAAGCAAATCTGTGGTGAGTGACATCTGAGATGACCAGGTCACAGATAGAGATGTATAAAGGAAAAAGATTTCACTTCCAGCAACTGTAATCAAAAAAGCATAATGGATCAAGAGCAGGGCAGTGAAGGACAGGAATGGTTTTGAAAGGCTGATTAAGCATGAAGAATGTATATTCTTGCCACAGGGCATCGTATGAGTCAAGATCTGGAGAGAGAGAAAAGCAATGAATGAGGAGGGGTCCAGACAGTCTGGAGTGTCATGCTGGGGAGAAAGGGAGGTTGGGCTAGGAAGGCAGGCTGGGGTCAGACTGCAGCTGGATCGCCTCTGATGGCAGTCAGCAGGAAGAGGCATAACAAACATGGTCAGGACTTGGGACAATTTCTCTAATGACTTTTGTGTTTAATGGCAGGGAGTGTAAACTCGAAGACAAATTAAGAAACTCCTGCAACATGAACCAAGAAGGGCCAGGAAAAGGCAACAGAAGGACAAAATGTGAATGACAAACCTAAGCTGAATGACCTCAATCCTAAGAAAGTGCAACAGATTCAGGAAAAAAATGATGTAAACTATAGGTCTTCAACATGCTTAAACCTGGGATCTGTACATACACTTGGCTGTATCTCCAAAATTCACCCATTCCTTCAAAGACGAACCATTATTCCCATATAACTTGAGGAGCATCTTGCAAACAGAACCATGTGCTATGAACATTCAAAATGCACATGTTCACAACACTGCAAATCAACTATACTTCAATTTAAAAAAAAGTGCAGGTTTACCACAGAAAACAGTTCAGAGTGTAAAACTGCCTAATATCAAATTTATCAACATTACATAACTCAGAAATTCACAATCTCCCTCTGCATCTCTACAAGAGTGGCTATGACATATGGTCACCTTTAAAAAGAAAAAAAAAAACAGTTCTAACAGTTAGACCACTGAAAAAGTACAAACTATAATTTAATCCACCACAATGTTCAAACTTAAAAAACTGTAACACTATAAGCTAGCATCTATCAATTCTACCAAAGTCTAAGAACTATATGATTTTTTAAATTCCTCAAATCTTTCAGGGAGACTGATAAAGACAAGATTGCATAACAGTGCAAGATAACAGCAGAGCATAACAGTGCATAAGAACTGCATCTGCGTGACACTTAATTTCCTAAAAAAATGTGCGCCAATGTTATACTATATTCAGGACACCTGCGAATGATTTAAAGAAAAATCTAGAAAGCTATCAAGGTGATGAATAAGGTTCCAAGTAAGTGTTGATAATTATATTTCCAGAAGCCTGCCTTCCCAATGTCTCTTCCCTTGTCATGACTTAACACTGTAATGAGGTAGGTGGGACAGCAGAAAGGACAATCACCTCAAGGTGCAAACACAGAAACTTTCCTCAAACCCTTTTATTAATTAAAAACTTATATTAAGAAACCAAGAGACAATTCTTACCATGGGTCAGTTTTTTGAGAGTATCATCAATAATTACTTTCACATTTGCTCTATACGTATGCAAGGAATTATTAGCCCTAACAGCAAATTTGTTACTTTTGCTTTCATTCTCTCTTTTCCATTTTTATTGCTTAATGCTTCCTCTTACTTGAGGTTTTCATTATTTCTTGCCTAATTCAACAGTAAAACTGGCTCTTAACTTTCACTTCGGGAGTACATCTTTGTGTGTGTGCATGCTAAGTTACCGCAGTAGTGTCCAATTCTGTGCGACTCTATTAACCACAGCCTGCCAGGTTCCTTTGTCCATGGTGATTCTCCAGGTAAGAATACTGGAGTGGGTTGCAGCACCCTCCTCCTGGGGATCTTTCCTACCCAGGGATCAAACCCACATCTCTTACATCTCCTGCACTGGCAGATGTGTTCTTTACCACTAGCACTACCTGGGAAGCCCAGTACATCTTTAGGTCTATTTATTTCCTTAGCACACACTTGTTATGTGGAAAGATCTCTCTGAAACACCTCAGCCTCTATTAGCAGAACCAGTGCATTTCAGGTTCTATCAATTCAGAAAAGTCAAACAACACAGAAGGGAAGAGCCTTCCACACATATTTGGAGAATAAGTTCCCCTCCATTCAAGCCTGTTCCTTTAAAGCTTCAATCAGATATACACTTCTTAAGATTTGCCAAAATTCTTGTTTTTTTTACTACACCTATTTACCTAAGCCCTAAGTATTAAAAGCTCTGTATGTCTAGACTCGAATGGATTTTAGACTGATTATGTCAATTAATCAAGATACAGGAAGTTATTAAGGATCCCATACCCACCTTCAGCTAAAATACACAGGAACTGAATTCCCTAAGTAACTAAACCTGTAGTCTAGAAAAATCTTTTAATGTAACGGAATTTTGAACACAAAAGCATCACCAAATAAATCTTCCAATAAATGGAAGAACATCTCATGTTCACTGACTAGACTTAATGTTAGGGTGGCAACACTCCTGAAATTATCCACAGATTCTACACAATTCCCACTGAAATTCCAGCTGACATTTTGCAGAAATTTGACACAGTATTCCTAAAATTCAAATGGAAATGAAAGGAACCAGAATAACCAAAACAATCTTGAAAAGACAAAATAAACTTGGAGAACTCACACTTTCTGATTTTAAAACTTAACTACAAAGCTACAGTAAAGAGGGCAATGTGGTACTGGCATAAGGACAGGAATATGGAACACAAAAGAGAATTCAGAAATGTTAATAACCCTTACATTTATGTTCGACTTTTGCAAGGGTGTCAGGACAATTCACTGCAGAGAAAGAATAATCTTTTCAACAAATGGCATTAGGACGACTGGATATTCACAGTCAAAAGAATGAAGATGAACTTCTACCTCACTCCATATACAATAAGTAACTCAAAATGAATTAAAAAGACCTAAATGTAACAGCTAAAACTATAAAACTCTTAGAAGAAAATTTGGACACAAAACTGTGACCTTGGATTAGGCAATGGTTTCTTAGATACAAGGACAAGAACATAAGTCACAAAAAAAGAGATAAATTGGACAGCAAAATCAAGTATCTTGTGCCTCAAAAGACACCATCAGCTAGAAAGTGAAGAAAAACCAGAGAATGGGAGAAAATATCTACAAGTCCTATCTGATAAGAGAGTTGTATCCAGACTATATAAAGAACTCTTACAAGTCAATAATCAAAAGAACAATAAGTCAATTAAAAAACACGCAAAGGATCCAAACAGACATTTCTCCAAAGAAGAAACATGAATGGCCAACAAACAAATGGAAAGATGCTTAACACATTATTAGCCATTCAGTTCAGTTCAGTTCAGTCGCTCAGTCATGTCCGACTCTTTGCGAGATCATGATGCAAATCAAAAACACAGTGAAATACTGTTTAATATCCATTAGGACTGCTATAATCAAAAAGACGGATAGTAACGAGTGTCTCATCAAGAATGTGGAGAAATCACAACCTTCATACACTGCTGGTGAGACTGTAAAACAGTGTAGCCAACTCTGAAAACCAATCAGACAGGTCCTCAAAATGTTGAAAATACAGCTACCGTATGCCCCAGCAATTCCACTCCTAGGTACATACCCAAAAGAAATGAAAACATATGAACATATAAATAAATACTTATACACAAATATTCACAGCAGCATTTATTCATATGAGCCAAAATGTGGAAACCTTAATGTCCATCAACTGATGAATGGATTAATAAAATATGGTCTACCTGCACAATGTAGTATTATTTGGTAATAAAAAGAAATTAAATGTTGATACATGCTACAACACGGATGAACCTTGAAAACATTACACTAAGGCAAAGAAGGGCTTCCCTGGAAGCTCAATGGTAAAGAATATGCCTGCAATGCAGGAGATCAAGGTTTGATCCCTGGATTTGGAAGATCCCCTGGAGAAGGGACAGGCAACCCGCTCCAGTATTCTTGTCTGGGAAATCCCATGGACAGAGGAGCCTGGCAGGCTATAGTCCATGGGGTTACAGACAGTCAGACACAACTGCGTGACTAACACTATAAGGCAAAGAAGCCAGTCACAAGAGACCATGTATTTTCCGACTCCATTTATATGAAATGTCCACAAAAAGCAATCTATATTGTCAGAATGCAGATTAGTGGGTAGTGGGGGTAGGGGATAACTGCTAATGGGAACAGGATGTTTATGATAACAGGAACGGGATGAAAAGGTACTAAAGTTGACTGATCTCGAAATTTATCCCAATAAGCAGAGTATGTATATACATAATAATAAATCCAATCCGAGGGAGCCTGACAACAGCCACTCTTATCCTGCTCTAGCCTGCGCATATAAATAAATACATTACCCTTCTACAAATGCATCCAGTTTAGCCAGTTCATCCGACAAACCAACCAGGACATCAAGTGTGCCAACCTAGAAGGGAAATACAACATTTTATTACTTAGATTTCATCCTTTTTTAAAAAAACAAGGTAGTATAGCATCGTGAATTGAAAGGCCTGCAGATCTGAAGTTCTCCATATTTTATTTCATAAAATGCAAGTGTGGTTAAAAAATGCAAGACATTTCAAAGCTATTTATATGTATAAGATAATCCTCTAATTTATGAGGACAACCATTTAGATGTGAAGATTCCACAAGAGCAGGCCCATGCCTCTACTTGTCCTGCCCAGTGGGAGGGTTCATTTGAAGCTGTGGTTTACCTTAGCAGCTTTTAAACACGGACCCACGGCTGTGCATCAGAGGATCTTTAGTTCCATTTGGGTTTTTCTGTCTTTTGTTTTAAAGGAATCTTTATTATCACTAGCCACGCCACAGGGCATGCGGGAACTTATTTCCCAGACCCCGGGTCATCTGCAGCCCCTGTAGTGGAAGCGCCGAGTCCTAACCACTGGACCACCAGAGAACTCCCTGTAATTTAATTTGTACACAAAACCATGCAGGTATAAAGGAGCATGCTTTAGAAGAAATGCCCACAGTCTACAGGAGTGTATCAAGGGGCTTCAAGTATTTCTTAAATGAGTGCTGTGTATAACTGTCTCATTTGGTTAACCAGCAAAATATAAACATCATGATCTTTTCCATCCATTACAAAAGTTCAGTCAACTGATAACTGGCAGTCTGCTTCACTTAGAGGCTGCTAGGCTACTGATGCTTAATAAACGTTAAATAGATAAACTGCATTAAATAACTAGATTTGCCGAGAATAATAAAGAGATGCAATGGTAAAACAGTTACAATATCATGAGTATTACATGAATAACAGAAAAACGTATTCACTGTGATATTTAAGAATACATATTCCTAAGATTTCTCACTTCTAAAAATCTTATTTGTGAAAGTAACACATCAAGTATTTTCACAAGATTTCTCATTAAAATTTAAATTATACTTAAGAAAAGCACAAAAGTTTAGGGGAAAATGTTACTTTGTTTTAGTAATTTTCTTCAAAAAAAAAATCTCAATTTCCATGTTATCTAAAATCTGAAAATTAGAAAGAACAAGGTAAGTTGTAAATTATGCCAATCCATAGAGTTTTCTCTTAAAAGAACCTGGGTATCTCATTTCGACCAAAAGGAAAGCAGAGACAGCTATCCTTTCCTTCACAATGAGCTACTCTGCACAGCACAGGCTTACCTTTAAGTCAGGAATGTTGAACTTTGAAGAAACTGCAAGGTTATTGTTCTTCGTAGTTGCCGCATGCAATTTCTCCCATGTTTGCTGACATGTTTTCTCCCCAGGAGCTGATATAAGCCAGAACTCAGTCATATTGTTTACCAGATATTTCCTCCAAAATTAAGACTCTGAAATGTAAAACAAAACAAAGTAAAAATACATTTACTACCACTTGTTTCTAAATTATTTCAGAGTGATAAGCACAGCTTGTTGCAAAATTGATTCAACAGTGGCATACAATCCTAAACAAAGTCAAATTTACTTACCTGGATATAAGTCCATATAAATGGGAAATTTACGATACTAGGAAAAAGGGATGATAAAGACCTAACACATGAAGCACACAATTTTGAAAAAATTACCCAACATCCTAAAATGGGAGCTAGTCAAGAAGGGAGACTACCAAAAATGTCAGCCACCAACAGTTTCAATCCCCCAAAGAAGTTGAAGAGTCACCAATTAATGGGTTTATCTTCAATTTTTAAAATAAAAAACCTAAATAGGAAGTGAAAAAACCATACATAACTCTGACCTTTGAAAAAGAACTGAATCAATGTGCTTCAACAGTAGCCACCAAATAAATTAGCCACATCTGGTTTAGCAAAATCCTGCAAGGTCAGCCAAATTCTAATCCCTAGTCAAACTAATCTCAATCCCTAGCATATACTTAATGGCCATCAACCGCTGACAAATTTGCACACATACAAAAATACTGCCAATCAGCCTTGTAAATCAGTCTTTTATTTAAAATATGCCTGGGAGGGGTGCATAACATACAACACTATTGGATTTGAGTAAGAGGCTGTGGCTCTCACTTTCCAGAGTTCCATTAAACACAAAACCCTCTTCCCCATTCTCTTTCCTTCTCCCCTTTACCCTCCTTCCTCTCTCTGTCTCTCTCACATACACACAGAAAAACAAAGCCCAAAGCCAAATCTCTTGGGAATGTAAGTAGGTAAAGCACAAAAACACAAAATATAAAAGAACTCAACATAACAGTATCATTATTTCTACTTTAATATGCTTTCATTATAACCAACATAAACTCTCTACTACCACAGCTTGTTTTTAAACCTTCCCTGAAATTTGGAGTCTTAGAAGATTAACTGTCTTACAAAGTTGTCCTGATAATAAATCAAATAACGAATGTGAAAGAACTCTGCAAATTTAAACTTCCTTTAAAATGTAAAGCATGATAGTTAATTACAATGGACTTTCCTAATTTTAGAAGCCCACTGTAATTAACCCTACCTAGTCATTACACAATTGAAGGTGATCATAGATGGCATTCTATATACTTGTTTCTTTCCTAACTTCCATTTTAAGAGCATCTAGCATATACTAGGTACTGCTCTAAATGTCTTATACATTGTCATCTCAATCTTCCTAACACCTCTATTAAGATACATATGATCCTTTCCATTTACAGATTAAAAAACATACTCAGAGAGATGGGACTGATAAAACTATAGATGCCGGTACTAAATCAATCTCTCAAGAATCCTACTCTAAGATGATTTTTCCAACATTACTGGAAAAAAAAAAAAAGCTGCACTAAGAACTACACTCTCTTAAATGGCCAAAAAACTAAACAGAGCTTTTATAGTGATGGCAGGCCCAGACAAAGCACTCAGCCTGGCCAGAAAACCAGTCTTTGATGACACATTTTTACACCTCCTCTCCTCGAAAAACGGCAGGTGATAGAATCAATTTTTAACGTCCTCCTTATGACACTGTTAAATTATCTAAACTGCAGTTTCTTCAAAGACTGTAACAATATGAGCTATTACAGTAGATGTCACTATCATTCCACTTAATAGTTCTAGAAACTCTTTTTCAGCCAACAGGTTTTCAAAAGATTTCAAGAAGTAAGAAGAGGACCACATTTTCTCATTTATAAAAAAATACCTGCCCAACTTACTGAGTTTTCATTAGGGTTGAATGAAATAATGTCATGTTATTTCTAAACAGAACTAGAGTCCCCTCTGGCCTTCAAAGGCTGTTCCCAGTACCCCAAGTAGGAATTATCTTGTTTAGTTACTATGTTATCAATGCCACTATAATGCAGTTATCACACTATTCTGCTTCATTTTTTTCATAACATTTTTTCCTCTCCACCTGACTGGGAAATCGTGAAGAGCCAAAATCATACCTTCTTTTCTAACGCCCTGAAAGCCCAGCATATACAATTCCTGTCAACATCAGGGACTTTATAAATGCTTGTTTTATGATAAAATGAAATATACAAATGACTCTGAACCAATCAAAAATTCTGATTGGAGGGAAAAAAATAAGAGCCATAATAATATCTAAATGTTTTTCAACTTTTTTTTTTTAATTTAAGAGTCTTTCAGAAAACAACCCTAGAGTAACAGACATTAAAGATTGGTAAAGCTGCAAGTAACTAAGCCTTTGTCTTTCGTTATTTTAAGTGTGAATACAGAAATATAAAAAAGAGGGATTGAGAAAGAACCTCTAGGTACTTTAGGCAAAGCAATGGCCTCATTTCTTCTATCCTCTGGTCAAAGCAAACTAACTATACAAGAGGAACCTGATGGGAAAGACAAGCTACTGAAGTATCTAAGGATAAATGTAAGAACTGCTCACAAGAAAAGCATCAGGAAGTCTTCTGCAAAATCCGTTTTTAAACAAATTCTTTATTTTTTAAACAATGCCCACGGTTATCCAGTCACTTAGACAAGTCACATAAAAAATTTTCTCTTTGAAATTTAAGTACAATTTAAGCTCAGTTCCAACAAACTAATCTCTGCAGATGAACATATTTGTGTGTGTGTCAGGGGAAAGGGATGGTTAAAAAAAAGAAATCCATGTTACAAAACACATGCCCCTTCCTCTCTGAGCTGCACAGAAACAGAGTCAAACCTGTCCAAAAAGTCTGGACACTTCTACCTCTGTTGACTGCTTCAACTCACTGGTTTTTATGCCTAATTATTTCCCTTTGTTTCCTCTTGTATTTTGGAAGTCAGGCATTAACATAGGCAAATCACATGTTAAACAAAAGAGAAAATGATTTAAAAGGCATTCCTCACAACTCAAATCAAGGTTTAAGGCCCTCTGTTATATGTGTGCATTCGGTTGCTCTCTGGGTGGTCTTTTTTAGATTCCAGTTTAGATGCTGAACACTCCCAAAGTGTTAGATCCAGCCTAGGCTCCTCTGTGCATCCAGAGCTGTACGCAACAAGTCTCGGCTACAAGACATTTCCACCTGAATATCTCAAAAAACAAAAACACATTTCTAGTCAAACTCCTAATCTCTTCCCCCAAACCTGGTCCTACTTCAGTGTTCCCTTAGCACACTAGTACCCTGCAATACTGGACAACCATAATTGTCAAATGCCATCAAGATAGTAGCCAATACTTCTTGCGCACTTCCTACCTACCAGCACCAGTTAAAACAGTTTATATGGATTAATTCATTTAGCATACTGGATGGACAGCAGTTATACAAGAAGAAACCAAGGCACAGAAAGTGCCTCATAAATTATGATATATTATAGTGCATTATCATGTCATGTGTCACATGAGTGCCATATATCACATGCTTATATGCTAAGCATGAATGTGTTATATGCTCTCATAGCACCTTTTCAATATTTCCTTGAGAGACACTTTTTATCAATATCTTGGTGGAAAGCATGACAGGTTTTGCTCACAAGTGTATTCTCAGTCCTGGCGCAGAAGCTGGTATGCAGAACCTCAAAAACTGTGTGGTGAACATTCCTGAATGAATACATGACAGTGAAGATGGAACAAGTAATAAAGTACCTTGCTTATAAACTGGCTTGGTCCCCTTTACTTCCTTTACATTAGAAGAAAAATCAATTTCACTGAAATATCACTTATATACAATAAAATGTACCCACAAGAGCACATGAGATGAGTTTCTGACAAACACATACACCTGAGTAACCACCACCAAAACCAAGGTTAAAAACATTTTTGTCTTCCCAAACCCTTCCCTAACACGTAGGGTCGGTCAATCCCAACCCCACTGCTGACCTTAGGCAGATGCTAATCTGTTTTTTTTTGTCGCACTCTAGGCTCATTGGGCCTAATCTAGAATTCCAGTGTAAATGGAAGTCCACACTGCATTCTCTTTTGTATCTGGCTTCCTTTGCTCAGCATGGCTCTGATATTTGTCCATGTCCTGTATAGCAATTCATTCTGTTTTACTTCTTAAGTGTTCCGTTACATGAATGTACTATGGTTTGTGGTTCCATTCACCTGTTGATAAGACATTTGGATTGTAACCGGTTTTGGGCCACTAACAACAAAGAACATTCCTTTTCAAAGCTTTTGTGAAAATACATATTCACTTCTCTTAGATAAACATCTGGAAGTAGAATTTCTGAGTCAAATGATTAATCTACATTTAACTTTATAAGAAGTCACCAAACTTTTCCAAAGTAGATGAAGTATTTTGCATTTCATTAGCAAGATTCACAGTTCCAGTTCCAGCTGTTTCACATGCCCACCAACACTTAGTGCTGTAAGCCTTTTTAGTTTGAGCTATTCCAGTGGGTTGTAGCTCTCATTTCCATGATGGTCACAGCTCAGGATCTTTTCACCTTATCAGCCAGTTGTATCTATTCTTTGTGAAGTTTCTATTCAAATATTGTGCCCATTTTTTTTTTAATCCCATTGACCTTACTGAGCTAGTTTTTCATATGATCCTGGTGTAATTTCTTTGAGAGATGTGTGTGTATAAAACATATATTCTGTGCCTTGCCTTTCCTTAATGGTGCTCTTGAGTAGAAGTTTTCAATTCTGATGTCCAGTTTATCAACTTTTTCTTTTATATGATTCGCTTACCCCAGGGTCACAAGGATTTATCCTGCTTGTAGTTCAGAGAAATTCCTGAACCTCTGTTTAGAGTTTTAAACAATTCAGGACAAAATTCATTTTCTTCAAAATTTTTTCCTGCTTCTCTTTCCCTTTTCTGAGACAGAAATGGCATGTATATTAAACCACCTGACATTGTCCCACAGGTCACTGAGCTTCCTTTTTTTTTTTCCAACTGTTTTTCTCTCTACACTTCAGTTTATAAACTTTCTTGCTACAGCTTCTCATTGGTTGACCTTTTCTTCACAGTTATCTGCTATTTGTCTCAAGAAGTGAATTTTTCACTCTCAGTGTATTTTTCAGCCTTAGAAGTTCCGTCTTTTAAAACTTCTTTCTTCATTATGTTCATGTTTTCTATTAAATCCCTGGGCATATCTGTAATTCACAACATTAAATTGTTGATCACTGGATTTTCTTTTCTTTAAGAACGTTGTGTTTTAATGTATGTAAACATAGAGCAGATTCACTTTGCTATACAGCAGAAGCTAACACAACTGTAAAGCAACTCTACTCCAATAAAACCTAATTAAAAATATATATATATAAAAGAATGTTAGGCTTTTAAAAAGTTTTCTCCCCCCCGCCCTAAAAAAATGGGGGATTCCTAGGTGGTCCAGTGGCTGGGACTCTGTTTTCAATGGTGAGGGCCCAGGTTCAGTCCCTAATCAGGGAACTAAGATCTGCAAGACACTTGGTATGACCAAAAAAATAAATATTAATAAAAGCATGCTGCACTTTGTTCTGACAGTCAATTAAGTTACTTAAGCTTTTAGCATGTTTCATTCAAGGCTGGTTGTTACACTGGGTTGGCCAAAAAATTCTTTTGGGTTTCCTTGTAAAACCTTAAGGAAAAACCCAAAAGAAAATTTTGGCCAGCCCAATACTTTGTTAGGTTAGGTCTAAATCTTTACTCTGGTGCTAACTTAGCCCTACCAGTTAAGATCTGACCTTCCTGGGATTCCTCAGGATGCCCCAGGTATTCATAAGGTATTCATAAAGCCCTTCAGCACCATGAGCTCTGCCAACTGTCTAGTTTAAAGCTCTCTAGTCATTCTCTGCTGGACTGTACCTGTGCCTGAAGCATGAGATCAAGGTCTTTTTGTCTCACTGGGAACTGCTGCCACAAAGAATCCAAAGGCCAGCTTCAGGAAACGCAATGTAACCACCAGAGCACTGCACTGAGAATATGAAGACTTGGAATCTAATCCCAGTTTTGCATGTCATCATCTGCGTAAATGTCTTCCTTTGCAAAATGAGAGGTTTCCCACATCCAGGATCCTTTTTTGCTCCTATATTCCATGAATCTACACTGGGTAAGAACTAGGACTCTTTTTTTTGTTGTTAAGTCTTTCAAGTAAATCAGATGATCAGTCAGGTTTTAGAACCACTGTAGTAAAACAAGCATTTCCATGATTATTTAGCGAATTATACAGTAAATGTTACATGAAATGGCAACCGTTACTTAATAAGATGGCTACACGTCATATCATCACTATCAAGAATCACACAGTACTGTCAGTTCTATAATGCATGAATGATTTTTGTTCTATGGAATGTAGAAACTTGAAATGTAGAAACTTTAAATGTATCAACCCACTTTTCGCATGTGTTCTATGGCGGCTTATGAATTTAAAAAATAAGTGAAAAGCAAAATGATATATGAGATCAAGTACAGAACAAAACAAAATCTGGGTAAATTATATTGCTTTGCTCAAGAAACACAATTTTATTTCATTTGTGAAGGAGAGAATATAGAGGATTTTAATACCATATATATAAATAGGTGGTTTTGTGACCACAGTGTAGAGTCCTGATTCACTCCCAAAACTTCTTGAAAATTTTTTCCAGGGCTAAAAAAACTGCTCTAGGGACTTCCCCTAGAGGTCCAGTGGCAGGGATAGGGGTTCCATCCCTGATTGGGGAGCTAGGGTGCCACAACTTTTTTTTTTTTTTTTAATTAAAAAAAAAATTGCTTTAGGTAATGGGAGGCTATACGTGTTGAAGTTGCTTCAGTTGTGTCCAACTCTTTGTGACCCCGTGGACTGTGGCCTGCCAGGCTCCTCGGTCCATGGATTCTCCAGGCGCGAATACTAGAGTAGGTTGCCATGCCCTCCTCCAAGAGAGTAGAAAGAAAACAAGGCACATGACAAGATAAAAAAAACCAAGCAGCATGCACTGGAGGCACAAGAGAAACATTAGTGAAATTTCTTCAATACGCCTATCTTGTCTGACTGCAGTAAGTATGCCCTTTTTTTTTTTTAACAGTAATAAGTCTTTTTCAAAATGGAAGGAAGGAAAGGAGAGAAGGAAAATCCTGGGTTCAAAGCTTGGAGCCTGTTTATTTCATTACTGTATCATCCACTTCTAAGAATTTAAAGGCAGTGGATTATTTTCTGACCACAAGTGATTAGGATGCAAAATAAAAAGAGTAAAGTAGGGACTTGCCTGACAGTCCAGTGGTTAAGCCTGTGCTTCCACTGCAGGGATCATGGATTCAAGAGCACTAAAATCCCACATGCCTTGCAGTGTACCCCTACCCCAAAAGACGAGTAAATAGCAACTATCATGATAACACAAGAGGTGAAGATAATAAACCCAAACAGATACTAGCACTTTTTTTTGTGGATGAAGGTAAGAGCCTGACCCAAGACAGGGGCAACAACAAAAAAATAGAGCATCCCAGTAAGTGCTCCAATATTTAACTGCTTTCAAGAAACCAACACCTCAGTCTCTGAAATGCAACCACCTTTCACAGTAAATTTAAACTTCACAAGACTGGTGCTGGTCTACATGCAAAAAACATCCTTTTTCAGTCCGTGAAAACACCACGCTTTCACCAAAGTGGCTTATTTCAGCCTGCACAGGGAGGAATGCCTCAGATATCATGAAATACCACACGGCCTTTCGACTGTGACACACCAGCTTCGAACTGAGCTGATCACAGTGCAAAAGAGCCACAGCCTATCCATCTTAAAAGGCTGCCACGTTCTTCCCCTGAAATTTTAATACCACGCAAATAAAAGGTAAGAATAATTACCTGAATGGTAACTTCTGAATGAATGAATAATTCTGAATGCTAAATTCCATCCTTCAACAAGGGAACATCTTAACTGGGATTGTTGGAGGGGCTTGCTCACAATAAAACTTGTTTAAGTAAAAGCTTCCAATAACAACAAGGAATTTTACCTCCCAAGGGAGACTTTAGTGATTTATATGTAAGTTTAAAATTGTTAGGATACATACCTTCTTTAAATCATTCTTAACTTCTGTGTTGTTTTGTCTTCAACTGAAACAGCATTTATAGATGGCCTATAATCACATTAAGAATTACCTGAACTTCATGCCATAAATATCCTGAAATGTGAAAGAACTTTCGTGGATGTATTTTATAAACAGCCATCTTTTTTACATCTTTGTATACGGCCAGAAATACATTTGCAAAAGCCAAGCCTTACTTAGGCATAGACGCCATCATAAAAACAGAAACAAGCCAGAAAGATAACAACATATAACACAATGTGTAAAAAAAAAAAAATCTCTCGCAATTTCTGCTAAAGCAAGTTGAATCTATAGACAGGCAAGGAGGGCACTGTACCATTACTGAAAGGAATCACCAGAACCTTCCGAGCCCCCAGACATTTCCTCTCTGCCACAGGCAACTCAACACTGACCCAGGGAGCAAACAATTCCTTCCATTCCAGGGAACTCCCTGACTCTACACTCACTGTCTCCCAAAATGTTACTTCCCTTCTCTTTCAGGTTGGTATCTGATAATAGTGACTGAATCACAACACCACATTTTTCACCAGAAGGTGTTAATATCTCTAAGAAAATGTATTCTAGCCTGAAATTCAACAAGCCAAAGACTTGAAACAAGTCTGCTCTCCCCAATTCGTCACTCAAGTAAGCTTGAGATCCTGTTTCCTGCTAATGACAACCACTTACTGAATATGCGCTATGTGATCAGCACTGAACATGTTAAGCAATTTTGTACTGGATTCCATCGAGGAAGATGGTATCACCACCCCTATTTGCTGATGAGAGGGCAATTAAAGAAATGTCTTGCCCAAGGTCACAGAGCTAGTGACTACATACATTTTACAAGCAAGTTTATTAAAACACTACTCTTAAACTCTATATCCCCAACATATAGTAGAGGGTCTGTCAGTAAGAAGCACTCAGGTATATGTTCAACAGATAAAGGATGCCTTTGCATAGGGTGTTGCACAAGCAAATGGTACCTCCAGGAGTTTGGAAATGTCTGAGATCATTTTAGGTTGTCCCAACGTGGGGGTCACTACCACCATTTAGCGGCTGATGGCCAAACAAGAGACAGTTCTGTCCAAAGTGCCAACAGCACCCGTCGAGAAACACTAAACTATAGGCTAGCTCATTAACAACAACAACAAAAACAACAGTCATGGTTAAGTCAATCCACCTGTTAACCACCTTTATTTACAAATAACTTCCTATCCATGGATAGTTTGCATCAAGTATCTTGAAAGATACATCAACCTCTTTCTATACAACACCATTTTTACATTTGTCTAGCATTTTATTTTCAAATACAGAGCTAAGGTTGCATCTTCTGGTCTACGATGGAACCAAAGCACCTCTCCTCCACTGCCCTAAGGACTCCTCTTGGAAATCAATAAATACACAGCAGATCTGCTACACCTGCGGAACAGAATTTTGCTTCATTATCAAGAATAGAGTTTGAATTTTCTAGTTCCAAGGATCACTTATGTCGAAAGGAAAATTTAGATTGCCCAGTTTCACCGCTTGAGCTATCTTTCCAAGAGTACCATGTTAATGGTTTCTACTATGTCTTTAAAATATCAGTGAAATGTGAGCTGAACATGAATTAGATTGTAAATAAAAAGGTATAAAGTTGCATATCCGAAGAGTGAAAAAGGTTTATTCTGGCAGATCAGAACACGTATAAGAACAAAATTCAACTAAGAAGTATGTATTTCCATCGGGTCACAAAGAGTCAGACATGACTGAAGGACTGAGTACACACACTCACTTGGCGCAAACTGCAGATACCCCTAAGCAGACTCAAGCTCAAAAGACAACTGACCACTTAGGAACTGGGGGACCACAAGGAGACCCTTTGGCAAAGGTTTATTTTGGCATTCCAGCTTTGTTCTTTGGCCAATGCAATTATTTCCAAAGTTGTGTAAATAATCAGAGAATCAGACTTTTGAAGCCCAAATGTTTCTTTTTAGATAGAGAGAACTAATGTAAATAAGGCTCCAAAGACTGACATATCAAAAAATAAAAGCGATCATTTACTGCCCAGTTCTAAAAGCAGTATTACACAAACCATCTAGCTCTCAGCATTTACTTTAGTCAGATTCCGAGTACTGTTTCTTTAGATTTTATCTAGTCCCTGCAAGATACACCAAAAGAGAAAAAGATCCGGGAGTTCTGAGACACAAACCTGAGGTTCCCTCTTCAGCACAATTTGAGACGTGCTGGTTGCCAGAGAACCGTGATTGACAAGCTGAGCACCTTTTGCCCACACTGCTGCTTATTATCTCCTCCAGCCAAACTGTAAACTGAACAGCTTCACCCAAGCTAACTAAAAACTGGTTTTTAAAGCAGGGACCACCGCTGCAGAACCCCTTTGAAGCTGTCCTACTCAAGTTTCACCGAAAGTGCTGAATCAAAGGTAAGAATGCACTAGGAGAAACTCACCCTTCTCTTTAGAGAGACTGTGGTTAAGTACTGGGCAGGTAATTGGCAGTCAGAAGACAGTATAAATTATGCTAGACTTAAAACACATCATTTGCTCTGTTTCTAGGTCCAAGAGTCTATCTAGATAGGTCCCGGTCTATACAATGAATGGCATTTTCATCTACTTCCTCTCAAAGACCTGTAAGAACAAAACAAACATGAAAGGGGCTTCCGGGGCGGCCCAGTGGTGAAGAATCTGCCTCACAATGCAGGGGACATGGGTTCGATCCCTGGCCAGAGAAGATCCCACATGCCTCAGGACAACTAAACCACGACTACTAAGCCAGCGCGCTACAGTCTGTGCTTCACAAAAAAGCACACAACTTGAGAAACCCGCACACCACAGCTAAAGACTCCCCTCCGCCCACCCGGCCCGCGGCAACTAGAGAAAGCCGGCTCACAGCAAGGAAGACCCAGCGCAATCAAAAACACAGTAATTTTTTTTTTTAAGTAATTCCTGTGACTATTGTTCAATAAAAGGTATTCGGGAGTAGATGACAGTACCAAAGTATAAGTTTGGAAGACCAAAATATATCTCCAGAAAAGAGTCTCCCCAACCACCAAATGATCCAACATCTCCTGTGTACTTCGGGACTATTGGGGGGGGGGNGGGGGGGGGGGGGCGAATGGGGTAGCTACAATGACACTCAGTGAGGGGTGCAAACACAATCTAATCTTTTCTTCCCTTTGCTCTTCTGTTGCTCAGGTCATTCAATTTGCCTGTGTGACTCCTCCAGTTTCTTTTCAGGGTTTCCTGCCTACTCTTCCCCCATTCTAATTAAAAAAAAAAAAAAAAAAAACACGCTTTAAGTTCTCTGGAACCCCGTTCTTTCCCCTGTCACAAGGACCCTGCGTCCTCGCTGAGGGTCTCCTAGACCCTCTAAACTGCCATCACCTTACTCGCAAGCACGTACGCCCAGGGGAAGCTGTACCGCTCGCTGTGACCTCACACACACCACCCCGGATCCTCCTCTGGGCCACTCTGTTACCTCTCGTCCCCCTGAGCGAGGATTCGCTTGACCCTTACCCCAACCCAAGGAGAAACGCCTCAGACCCGCAGTGTTTATGTCTGCCTCTGCCACAGAACTGCCCCTAGGGCCCTTTCTCTTTTTCCCTCCTTCCCTTCCCCTTAGAGACAGAACCCAGGCCCACGGCGGCGACACAGTCGCGCCGAGAAACCAGACACGGCCGCCCAGCCGGCGGCTCCAACGCCACAACCTCGGCCCCCGCGCCCGCCCCCATCCCTCCCAAGCGGCGACCGCAGCGCGAGCTTCAGCCCGGCCGGGGTTCCCGAGGCGGGGTAGCCATCGCTCACTGACCCAGGGAAGTGTCAAACGAGGACGTGACGGCAGTAACAGGCAGAGAGGCGGACAGCCTGGCAGGCGTTAACGGCTCAGCGCTCCATCCCCTCCCCGACCTAAGCTCCGGCCTCACGGCTTCCTCGACCCCGGCGTCTACGGAGCAAGTCACGTGCCAGCCAGGACGGTCAGCTGACCGCGGCGCGCGCCACCACGCCTACGTGCGCCGCTCCGCCTACGCGCGCGCCACTGCGCAGCCGCCTTGGCCGAGCCCTCGGAAGAGGGGCGGGGCTGGGAGGCTCCCCGGGGAGCGGGAGTCTGAGCGGGAGGAGCTCTTCCGGGGTGGGTGGGGTTTCTGCTTCTGGAGTTCCGCCCGAGTCCCGTCCGCCACCTGTGCGTTTCATCGCTGACATCGTTAAGGTTACGCCGGTTTTGTTCAAGTTTCTGTGGCTCGGACTTTGCCTCCAGGCTTCTCCACTCAGGATTTTCTTCGGACAGCCCGGTTTTCTGAGTAATATCCTTAAGAGTTCCCTTCAGCCTCTGATTCACCTTTTCCTTTCAGTCCACTTCGAGTTAATTCCATAAATGTCCTTAGAGCGTTTACTATGCGCTAGTCATTGTGCTCATTTTCTTAGGATTGTCTACCGGCGTGAATCACTCCTTGCAGGAGAGGGTTTATAATCTAGTTCGGGCGTCTGTGAGGCATGTGATAAACATCGGATAGTTGGAACCACAGTAGATAAAAATGAAAACCAAACAAGGTTACAGGGGAGACAGAGGCAGGGACAGGGGAAATCATATCCTTTGGGAGAAAAAAAGATAGCAAGCCGCTCTCCTGAGCCGTGCATATTTCATTAGCTTGGGAAGGTAGGTGGTATTATTCTGGTTCAGAACATAGTTTAGAAACGTTAGAAAAAAAATTTTTTTAGAGAACTTTTTAATTAAGTTTTTTATTTTGATTCCTATTGTGCGATTAGTTTCAAATACTTTGCCCACTTAGTTTCATTGAAACATTTATCTTCTTACCTTGAAGAAATTATGAGGAGAAAACAAATCTTCTCTATGCATTAAAAATCAAAAACGTTTTTGTTTTCTAATTCAATACTTTTATATTAGGGAAGGTGAAAAGCTAGAGATCACAGAGCTGTTTGGCACAAGGGAATAGTTTTCAATCCTGGCTCCGCTGCCGAGTAGCTGTGTGACCACAGGCCTGTGAATTTCAGTTTCTTCACCTGTAAACTGATGGCAATAATATTTACGTGATAGGGGTGGGCCTGTGTGCCTGCAGAAATTCACCACAGGATTTCTTAGAGCCTTAGTAATACATCTGAATAAAAAGTAATAACCAACCAACCAGCCTATCTTCAACCTAATGCTTCTCACTAATTTTGGATGCTGTTCAGGCAATTCCAACAACCGGTTCTGTGACACAGCTTTGGAAACTCGTCAGAAATTCCAAGGGCTTTATTTGGCATCATAACGTGTGCCCAAAGGCCGTGTTTTGTTAGCTCTGTCTGTCCAAATCAACTTTCTTTGGTGGTGAAAGTGTTAATCTGTGCTTTCCATATTGTCCACTAGACTGAAGTGACTCTTGAGCACTTGAGATGTGGCTATTGTGACTGAAAAACTGAATTTTAAAATTTATTTCACTTTAATTAATTAAAATTTAAATACCCACTAGTGAGACTAGTGATAGCTGCTTTAGGCAGTGAAAATTAGGGTCTGTGTTTGAAACCTTGTGGTTTCTTTATGCTTGTGTGTGGCCCTGAGGCAGAATTCTTATGTCTGTTTCTTAATTTTTAAATTCAAGTGCATCTCCCATCAGCAGACGAATGGATGAGGAAGCTGTGGTACATATACACCATGGAATATTACTCAGCCATTAAAAAGAATTCATTTGAATCAGTTCTAATGTAAAAAAAAATTCAAGTGCATCTATTTCTGACGTCTGAACACTTTGCAGTGTTTTAAGCACCATGTTATACTTGAGAGGCAGTATAGAGCATTGTTCAATAAATGTTAGCTCCAATTATCATCAGACCTAGCATATCTTATTTAAAAATCTAGCAAACATGTTTAAAATAAACAGGTCATGCTTGCTTTCTTTGGCTTCTGATAGGAAGGGAATGTGTTTTACAAAGATTGGGGACACTTGGTTTTCCTTACTATGCATAGGAGCATCATAGGTATCTAAGTATATATAGCAGGCATGACACACCTTTTCTTGCATTTCCACTACCTAAAGCACCTTCTAAGCTTAAAGCACTGGAAAAAAAAATGCATAGAGAAGATTTATTTTTTCCTCATAATTTTTTCAAGGGAAAAAGATAAATGTTTCAATGAAGCTAAGTGGGGAAAGTATTTGTAATTAGTCACACAATAGGAATCAAAATAATTTTTCACAGGAGAGTGAAAAAGCTGACTTAAAACTCAACATTCAGAAAACTAAGATCATGGCATCTGGTCCCATCACTTCACGGCAAACAGATGGGGAAACAATGGAAACAGTGACAGACTTAATTTTTTGGACTCCAGAATCACTGCAGATGGTGACTGAAGCCATGAAATTAAAAGACACTTGCTCCTAGGAAGAAAAGCTATGACCAACCTAGACAGTATATTAAAAAGCAGAGACATTACTTTGCCGACAATAGTCCATATAGTCAAAGTTATGGTTTTTCCAGTAGTCATTTATGAATGTGAGAGTTGGACCATGAAGAAGGCTGAGCACCAAGGAACTGATGCTTTTGAACAGTGGTGCTGGAGAAGATTCTTGAGAGTTCCTTGGACTGCAGGGAGATCAAACCAGTCAATCCTAAAGAAAATCAATTCTGAATACTCATTGGAAGGACTGATGCTGAAGCTGAAGCTCCAATACTTTGGCCACCTGATGTGAAGAACTGACTCATTTGAAAAGACCCTGATCCTGGGAAAGATTGATGGCAGGAGGAGAAGGGGACAACAAAGGATGAGGTAGTTGGATGGCATCACTGACTCAATGGACGTGAGTCTGAGTAAATGGACAGGGAGGCCTGGTGTGCTGCAGTCCATGGGATCGCAAAGAGTCGGACACGACCGAGCGACTGAACTGAATTGAACTGAAGTCAGGAGGAGAAGGGGATGACAGAGGATGAGGTGGTTGTATGGAATCACCAACTCAATGAACATGGGTTTGAGCAGCTCTGGGAGATGATGAAGGACAGGGAAGCCTGGCGTGCTGCAGTCTATGGGGTTGCAAAAAGTTGGGCATGACTAAGTGACTGAACAACAACAACTAATAGCTTGAAAGGTAGAACTGATGTTCCTCTTAGAAAAGGAAGTGTCCTTGTTTAGGGAAACACTTAGATAAACTAGCAGAGTTGAAGATAAGCTGAGCTTGGGTACATGGAGACAAAGAAACAAAACCATGTCTAAACTAGTTTCCAATAGAGATTGGAAAGGAAGGGAAACAGGAGGAGCAGGTGAAGGCATGCAAGGAGCCCATAAGGCATAGAGAGCAGAGAAGAAAGAAAGCAACATGATAAAGAACTTGTAAAATTAGGTCTGTTAGAACCCCATTTGAGATCACTTTAATTGCCATAATGTAAATCCATTGCCATCTGCCCATACCTTTAATGAACTCAAATGCTTTCATGAACTTTTTTTGGTAAAAATTTATGGTATCCAGTTAATATTATGTAAAGAGCTCAGAAAAATTAATAAGAACAATAATAAGACCCTAACTGGGAAATGAGCAAAAAGCACAAAAAATTGAGATAAGAGGAAATACCACTGTCTGAAATAAAACATGTGGGGAAGTGCACACCCTTACTAGTGCTCAAAGATATAAGTTAAGATAACATACATATAAATATTTATCAAAATAAATAATATATAAAAATTATTGTGAGTAATAACTTATATTAGCAAAGATAGGAATATGTACATAATAGCCAATGCTGGTGAGAGTATGATAAGACAGAATCTTTTATACTGCTAGTGGTTCTGTAAACTGGTACAGTTTTTATGGTCAGCAATTTGACAGTATAGATAAGAAGCCTTAAGAATGCTCATTCTATTTTCATCCATGTAAGGGTAGAAATAATGGGGAAAGGTAGGAAAATATTTATGTAAAATATGTTCATTACATCATAATATCTGTTTTCATCATCAGCATTAAAGATTTAGTTGAACAACTAAGCCTACTCTGAAGGTAAAGCATTGAAAATTATTTGATACATCTGGAATTTTTAGAGTTAAATGCTCAGGGTTAATGAATAGGATATGCTAAGGAGTTTCCTTGTGGTCCAATGGTTAGGACTCTGTACTCTCACTGCCAAGGGCCTGGGTTCAATCCCTGGTCAGGGAACTAAGATCCCCCCACGAGCTGCAGAGCATAGCCGAGAATAATAATAAGATACACTAGACTAGTGGTTCTCAACTAGGGGATGTTCAGCAATGTCTGGAGATGTCTTTGTTTCTCACAGCCTGTGGGGAGTGAGATGCTACTGGTATCTAGTGAAATCAGGGCAAAAGTCATAGATACTGGTAAACATCCTACAATGTTTAGGACAGCCCCACAACAAAGAATCATCTGATCCACAATGTCAGCAGTGCTCAGGCGGAGACCGCTAGTACTAGACCCAGGATGTTCTCAGAGTCCCAGTTTCTTGACAAACAATATATGTTCCTATAATTCCACTCCTGGGCATATACCAGGAGAAAAAGCATAATTTGAAAAGATACAAGCACCCTAATGTTCATAGCGGCACTATTTACAATATTCATGACGTGGAAGCAACTTAATGTCCATTGACAGGTGAATGGATAAAGATCATGTGGTACATATATTCAGTGGAATATTACTCAGGCATAAAAAAATGAAATAATGCCATTTGGAGCAACATGGATGAACCTAGAGATTATCATACTAAATGAAGTAAGTCAGACAAAGACAAATATGTTATGTTGCTTATATGTGGAACCTAAAAAAAAAAAAACAAGTGAACTCTCATACAAAACAAATAGATACACAGACATAAAAACAAACATAGTTACCGAAAGGGGAGGGGATAAGGGATAAATTAGAAGATTCAGATTAATATATATATATATGTTACAATACATAAAATAGATAACTGACAAAGAACTATTGTATAACATAGGGAAATATACTCAATGTTTTGCAATAAACTTTAAGAGAAAGAATCTGAAAATATAT